TCTACCTCCTACTGGATCTTAACAGCCACAGCAATGATTTAGCTTTAACTGAGCACGTTTTCTGACCTGGACACTGTGCTAAGTGCTTTACAGGCATTACCCATTGAATCTTCCAAACGACTCTAAAAGGTGGGTGCTATTCTTGTCTCTACCGTGAGTGTGGAGGAGAGGAGCCGGGGTTTTGGAGTCAGCTAGAGTTTGAACCTGAGTCCTCCTCCAGAGCCTACGCCCTGCTCACTCTTGTCTTTGTTTTATTGTAGAAGCTCTCCCGGGGCCAAGCAGCCCCCAATCCTCCCTCTCCCTGCTCCCCCTCCCCTCAGGACTTCCCCCTAACTATTGCTCTTCTTATGGCCCATTGTTTATTGTGCCTTCTAAACAATAGCTAATGAGTCTGTATTACATGGTAGGGAGAGCCAGGGGTGATTTTATTCCCTGGAACAGAGATGAGGTTGTCACACACAAAGGTTAAGTGGCTCTGGTGAGGTCACAGTGAGCCCGCCACTTGGGTTCTTGAACCCACCCTCAGGCCTTCTGGCATCAGAGTTTAATTAAGAGAGTTATTTTCATTTTCCTTTCGATCTCCAATTTGCCATTTTATTGCTGCTTGATAATGGTAGATATTGAAGCCCCAGGCAGTTTTCTGCCCCAGTAGGCTTTTTTAATGACTCAACTTATCACGGAGAAACCACTTGCTTTAGAGTTAAGCTTTGGAGGCCTGTTTCTAGGTCCCCGTGTGTGACAGAGACCGTTTTCTGACAGAGGACTGTTTTCTCAGAGAAAAACAACCACAAACGCAACTCAGGTTGGTAATTGAGGACCTTTTTCTTTTCTTTCTTTCTTTTTTTTTTTTTTTTTTTTTAAATCTTACATTTAAACCAGTAAATCAACATCTGTGAGTCATAAACTTGTCCTGGATCAGCCGTTAGTGGTCTGAATGTTTTTCACCTACCTCCAATACAGCATATTTTAGCTCAAAACTCAGAGGTTCTCTGGTTTGTTGAAGCTGAAGACTCAAGAAAGAGACAAATAACTTATTCGAGCACACTGGTGGAGAGGCAGATCTGTCTTCCATGACTGTTTGAAATGAGGTGTATTTTCATATTCCTTTTTCATTGAGGCTGGTGTGGAGTTGAGTGGGGGAGTAGTAAAGAGAAAGTTTATGTTTTGGACATCTTCTATGTGAGGGAATTCTTTTTCTTTTTAAGATTTTATTTATTTATTTGAGAGAGAGAGAGAGAGAGAGAGAGAGAGAGAGAGAAAGGGGCATGGAGGGGGAGAGGGGTAGAAGGAGCAGGAGAAGCCAACTCCCCACTGAGCAGAGATCCAGGGCTCCATCCCAGGACCCCAAGACCTTGACCTGAGCTGAAGGCAGCCGCTTAGCCACCTGAACCACCCAGGCTCCTCTGTGCAAGGGAGTTCTTATAAAAATGTGTCTAGTTCCTTGATATCATTAATGCCTAACTGCACACCCCTGTCACCCAACTTTTGCAGCCCTGTTTTGATCCTTATCGACATGCTGTTCCAAGTTTAGGGAGTTTTAGCACTGGCTGGGTGTAATTCCCTAGGTCCTAGGAATGTTTAAAAATACAATCCTGTTTTCTCCTAAGTGTAGGAGGAGCAGACTGCTAGCAGCATAACAAACAAAAGCAAAGAAGTATGTCCCTGGTTGATTTTTCCTGAGTGCCTCCCCATCAGATATAGTCTTTGAACAACCTGCCCCAGTAGCTGGAAGGCAAGGCCCAAACTGATCTTGTTTTGCTGGTGGGGAAACTGAGGTACAAGTGAACCCGAGTGGACACTAATGCTTGGGAATGGGGGTTCTTCTCTGCCATGGGGGAAAAAGGGCAGACCTAGGGGCAGAATCACCAACATGCTTTAGTTCTTCTTCACAAGCCATAGCAGAACCAATTCATTTAAACCTTCGAGTTAGAGAGAGTTGGTGGCAAAGTAGATGCCCGTAGTGACCAGGAAGTTGAGAGCTCATTACTGAATACACAGTTCCCGAGTGTCTGCGATGTGTCAGGCATTGGGCTAGGGATCATTTTTTAGGCTCCAGGACAATAGAAATGCCATCTAAAGTCCATAGAACAGGGATCCCTGGGTGGCGCAGCAGTTTGGCGCCTGTCTTTGGCCCGGGGCGCGATCCTGGAGACCCGGGATCGAATCCCACATCGGGCTCCCGGTGCATGGAGCCTGCTTCTCCCTCTGCCTATGTCTCTGCACCTCTCTCTCTCTCTCCCTCTGTGACTATCATAAATAAATTAAAAAAAATTAAAAAAAATTAAAAAAAATAAAGTCCATAGAACATTCACAGGAATCTACTCGTGTCGTAGAGAGAATGACGTTTCATTTGCAGGCCTGATTGGATTATTAATATCCCAGATATGTAAACATATTTTTAACTTGTCTACATCAGTGCCCCGTGTCCCAAGTGACGTTTCAGTTAGATCCGAAGTCAGATGCATGATGTCTGATAACTTCGCTGAGTTCAATCAGCCTCAAGTACAGGGAGATTTCCTGGAGGTTTGTGGTGGCCCCTGGTATCTCACCCACCCTCCCGTCTTACCTAACCCCCTTGCTTGACTTGGGCCTTCAAATATTTTGAGCTTCTGTGCTACAGGACTGGGTTACAAAAGGGTGATGGATAAGGTGAGATGCCATTGTTGAATAACTGGGGGAATAATTCCCCAGTGTTTCTGGTTGGATCAGGGCGGGTTCTTTCTAGTGTCTGATGGTGGGGGGTGTTAGCAGGGTTCAGGCTGGCCTGGGGAAGAAAATTGAGGAGGATTCTGGGGAAGAGAAAAGACTGACTCTGAGAAAAGTACTCACACTTGGGTTTAAAAATACCATCATTTTCTTAACACAACATCAATAAAAAAAAAAAAAATGCCCCAAAGCAACTGTTGATTTGCTCAGCTCTTCTGCTGATGCATTCAGAGCGGCCAAGGCAGAATGGGTTCAAGATCCTTTTCTTTGTGGCTCATTTGGATGTTTAAATGTCCAATTCATTCTTCCAGCCATTTCCCCTGGCTTTTCCCAGGGTCAGAAGTGTCTGTTCTTGTCACCTGGAGGCCACCATTGTTTTCTCACACCTTTTGGAAACACAGCTGGATTACAACAATCCTTCAAATATTAGAATTATCACATACAAATATTTTCCTCTCATCACTGAAGGAAGGCTGTGATCCTCTGAGATTTGACCCAGGAGCCAGGGATTTATTTTCTGTTCCTGGCTCCCTCTCTCATTTGCTGTGGGAAACCTGCAAGTTACTGATGATGCTTTAAGGAGACAAAACTGGGATTAGGTGCAGGTAGGCAGGTGTGTTAAAATTGATCAGAGTCAGAGGGTATAGTTACAGGCAAGTGTGGTAGTTCAAGGTAGGCTTAGAAATCAGGAAACGGTATTAAAAATAGCTTTCTCTGAGTTTGTTCAGAAAGATTTATGTTGGGATCCCTGAGTGGCTCGGCGGTTTAGCGCCTGCCTTTGGTCCAAGGTGTGATCCTGGAGACCTGGGATCGAGTCCCGCATGGGGCTCCCTGCATGGAGCCTGCCTCTCTCTTTCTCTGACTCTCATGAATAAATAAATAAAATCTTCAGAAAAAAAAAAAAGATTTATGTTTAATGGTCTAGTTAATCAAAGGTAGATCTTCACCTCTGGCTCTAGCTGTACACGTGTGTCCCGGGCTGGATCTCTATATTTACCGGTTCATATGTTAATTAGAACCAACCGATAACCGACGTGTTAGTGCAAACTCATTATTTGGGATCGTGCTGTAGTGTTCCAAGTGTCTGGAATTCCCAAATGGAACAGGGGCTGTGTGCATTGTGATTTCTGTCACAGCCGCGAATGATGGACTCCAGAAATTCAAAACCACAGAGGCTCTGCATCACTTTTTTGCTGCTGCTGCTGCTGCTGCTGCTGCTGCTGGTGGTGGTGGTAGTAGGGTTGTCAGTTTTATCTAGTGGAGGAGAGTCTGGGATTGGAAAGGCGAAGGGCGACATAATCACAGAGGAACAGAATAATAGCTTTTCCCTTTCCACCCAAACCACTGCTGTAGGTAAACGGGAAGCTCATGGAAGCCCAGGTCTGGGTTCCAGTTTGGGGGCCCTGTTCTGTGCTCTCCCAATAGTACAGGAGCATCTGGGTCTTTGTTTTGGGGTCACCAGTAGGCTGCCTTAGGCTTGATCCTTCTCCAGGGCAGCCAAGCCAGAATTCTACTGCACCCTGCCCCCCCCCCCCCCGCCCGCCCCTTTCTTAACTCAGGTCTTAACCATGACTCGGTTGGGCTCTGGAAGACGGAAGGCTCCCCCAGCAACACAGCCCCGATCCCTGCCTGACTCACCCACCGGCGACAGTCCCTGCAGGGCTCCTAAAGCCCCGAGGACACGGGCCGGAGGCCCCCCGCGCCCGCCCGCCCCCCGCGGGCACGCACGCCCCTGCCTCCGCATGCCTCACGTCCTGTGTGTCAGTCTTTGTGAATGAATGATGCACACGCACTCGGGAAACTATGCTGCTACCGGGAGCGGGGCGGGAGCGGGTGACCAAGTCCTCAAGAATGCGTGGCGAATCAGACGGACTTTCCCCGAACCGGCGGCGGCAGCGTGCGCAGCCCGTGCAGCGTGTGCAGCGTGTGCAGCCGGGGTGCTCGCCGGCCCGGGGTCGGGGTCGGGGTCCGGGCTGCGGGGCTGCGGGGCTGCGGGGCTGCGGGGCTGCGGGGCTGCGGGGCTGCGGGGCGGCGAGCTCCGCGCTCAGCGATGCGCCGCGGGGCGGCGGGGCCTGGGCGGGCAGCGGGCGTGGGCAGCGGGCGCGGGCGGCCGCGGGGCCCCGCCCCTCCGTCCTTTCGTTTTCCGCCCGCCGCCTCCGATTGGCCGCGGGGCTCCGGCCCCGCCCCCGGCCCCGCCCCCGGCCGCGCCGGCCCCGCCCCTCGCTGCCCGGCCCCCGCCCCCTCCCCCCGCGGGGACCCGGGGGGATGGGGAGGGGGGCCGGCGCGCAGACCCGGCGGCCGAGGCTCGGCGCCGCGAGAAACGCCCTAAAGAGGAGGGAGCGAGGGAGGGCGAGAGCGAGCTGAGGCTGCTGCCGCGGAGCGGAGGAGCGGGGCGAGGCGCAGGCGAGGCCGGGACCCGGGGCGCGCGCACTTCTCCGCAAAGTGCCAACTTCCCGGGAGAGCGTGCGGGGCGCGCACCTCCAGGGCGCGGGGGGCAAGTCCGCGGGGGCTTGAGGTCTTAGGGCAGAGGGTCGGATCCCCCCGCCCCCGTCCCCCCTTCCCCCGTTACTGACCCCCGTTAAAAGGACCAACAAGAATCACAGCCAAACTTGCCACCTACTCCCGCCTGCCCCCCGCTCCCGGCACCATGAAGGCGGCCGTCGATCTCAAACCGACTCTCACCATCATCAAGACGGAAAAAGTCGATCTGGAGCTTTTCCCCTCCCCGGGTGAGTGGCGACTGTCGAGGCCCCCGCGCCCGCCCCGGGGTCCCCGCCGCCTGCCCCCCTGTCGCTGCTCCCTCCCAGGCTGGCGATGCTGGCGGCAGCTGGAGCGAGGGCGCGGGGGGGGTGGGGGGAGGACGGCTGTTGGTGGCCGAGACCCTTGTTTGGGGGGTGGTATTTATTTTCACAGCTGTGTTTTTGTGACTAGTGGGAAAAAGCGTATAGAATGTCCAGCACCCTCATTCCTGCTTTTTTTCTTTCTTTTCTTTCTTTCTTTCTTCTTCTTCTTTTTTTTTAATCTTTCCCGATGAGCGAGCACACTCTGGCCTTATTCCTTAGCATTAGGGGGGATGGACGCTGCCGCTGAAGACATCCTCCACTGGCCCCGCATCCCCCACTGGCCCTGCATCCCCCAGCACTGGAGCTGGATGGCGGGCCCCGGGCAGCCAGAGCCCAGACCCTGCCTAACTGGCTGGCCTACAAGCACATTTTCAAACGTCTTGCCTCCCTGCACTCCTCTGTCACATGTCCCTTTGCTATCCAGCTCCTCTTTTCTGGGTGGAGGGCAAAGAGGTGGTGGGAGAGCTGAATTGATCATCTTAACTTCTGAAAACATCCCGATTCTGTTCGCTCCCCGTGCAGGTTCCTTACTTTATCCTGATATTTCTCATCTGCCACAAATTTGTCCTCTGGTACCAAAGATCTGGTATCCAAGAGGGAAAAACAGTCTGACAACCAAATGTGACTCGGGGACTTTGGTTGGGGGTGTTCTCCAACTCTGGTTTGAAGGATTTCGAGGAAGGGTCAGGAGAGAAATTTAATTTTTGTCTCAGATACAGTTTTTGATCCTAAGCAGTTTCATGGAGTCCCCAATTCCTGGAATAAACGTGGTTTGAGAAGAATAGGTGTTTTCTTTTAGAAGAGGGAACCGCCAGCTCTCCTTTAGAGATTAGAGACTTTAGAGGTGAGAGTATCTAATAAGATATGGAGAGAAGGTGATGCTTTCTGGAAAATAATTAATGGCAGTGACCTGCTGCTCTGTTGTATCTGATTATTGATAAGTTTAGCTGCTCTTGCCTTGGGTTAACACTTCTTTGCCTCTGGCATCATGAGTTGCTTATTTTAACCCTTTTCATAATCTGCTTAAACTTCCAACCCACGCCAAGCTGGTGCTCTGTCATTTGGAGAGCTTCCCGAGATGTTCTTGAAGACACGGCCCTGTCCTCTCCTGTTAGACCCTCTAACACTCAACCCCAGGGTTGGGAGTTCCACTGGGAAGTGCAAAAAGAAGGCTACGCTTGTTTGCTATCACAAGGATGGGGAGGGTCAGAGCAATGCTGCTGAGTTAAACTAGGAACCGTGGAGACATTTCTGGCACTTAGAGCTACAGTTCGGAAATGATGTTGCTGTGCTGGTTGTGTTTGGGGTTCAAGGAAGCCGCAGTAAATTCTGTTAGTCACAACTGATCCAAACCGTGTATAAAAGAAATGAAAGGTTCGTTCCCAGCAAAGATATAAACTCAACTAATAGGTTCTTTCCTTAAGAAGGGCTTGTTTACGTGTGTGTTTATGGGGAAGAGACAGATTTGGCTGTCTGGGAAGTATCGTGTGAGATAGGTCAGCCCACATACCTACAATGGATTTCGTCTGCTGGGAATGAAGAAGCGCCCCTAGCAACACATGTTTTAGATCACAGTAAACAGCTGAAGTAATTTTGGGGGGATAATTTAATATTATATATTAGAAATTTTGAGCATATGGTGCTGTTATTTTGGTTATTGATAAAAATGAGCCCCAGGGCAAGTAATGTTGCTTGGCATTCCCATCTGTAAAATGGGGACAGTAAACCTTCTTGCTACAGTCAACTTCTATTACAATAAGTGTCTTTACAGTGCCTCTCTTTTTCAAAAAGGGCTGACGAGCCACCGATCAGGTGTCCTAAGCAGCCTTCAACACAACAGAATGTCAGCGGGTCGGAGACATTGGGTAAATCTTGTGCTAGTCATCATAATGAGATTTGATTTCTGGCACTGTCATGGGGAAAATAGAGAAATTTGAAAATACATATAGAAGTTTTAGTTAACTTTTTTTTTTCCTAGATTTTTAGTAGCATAGATGGGAATACTATACCCGTATCTCAGAAAGGAAAATAGAGGCACAGAGAAGGTAAGTCACTTAAGAAAATCTTGTAAGCCGGTGGCTAAAGTAAAATGAGTCCCTCTTTCTAACTTCTCAGTGTGTGTTGCCTCGAGTAATACTGCAAGTTACTTTTGAAAAGCTCAGCAAAGAAACTTCAGTTGAGGGTTAAGCTTGCAGGTGCACAGAGAGAAGAAACATTGGCCGGGCCTGCCTGCTTTTGTTGGTGGGTGGAGAAGACACTGGCTAAGTGGGGATTTGCTTTGCCCATCAGACCATATAGGACATGTGTTTAAAGTTTAACTTTTCACAGCATGGCTTTGTGTCCACAGCTGTGACTTAAATATTTTTCAGAATGGTTCTTTGGGTCGTTTAGTTTCTTATGTGTGGAGACAACTAGTTTGGGGTCTTATCTGACTTAAATAATTAAACCAGGATTTCCCTCCCCCCAACACATGGGAGCCAAAGACAGGCAGTAGGGAAGTGGGTGTTGAAACAGGAGTCCTGGGTTATTTGCCTGTCTTTGTGGCTAGGACCTGATCCAGAACCTTTATTCACATTTCTTCTAGATTGAGACCTCCCAGGATTTTCAACAGCTTTAAGTACCAAATTAACATATATTTTGAAATAACATTGGAATTGAATATCTCTTGTAAGCGTGAAGTGGGTATATACCATTTTGATTGCAATATGTGATTGCAGGGCTCTCGGATCTTAAATGGACTAAAACAAACAAAGCCTTGGAGAGTCCATGGAGTTCCCTCCTGGTGTGGAGCTTACTGAGAAGGGTGGAGGCTGGGTGCCAAAGCAAATACATTCCCAAGCTGCTTAATTTTCCCCCTCCTTCCCCACTCCACCTTCTCGGTGAGGTGAGCCTAATGTCCAGAGAAGAGCAGGAGGTCTAATTCTGGGTGTTTGCTCCCCTGGCAGGGGAGGTGCATTCATCGGGGACCCATTCTGCCCTTAGAGATAGGAAGCTTCATTCCTCACCCCGTCCCTTTGGTCAGTCTTTGTGTCTTCATCAGTGTAGACAAGAAAGAAGGGCTGAGCTGCCCAGGCTATTAAGCCCGCTCACTCACTATGCCTCCAGACCCCTACGGACCACGCTCCATTAGTGACTAACGAGCCCGGTGGTTCAGAGCCCTGACTCTGGAGCCAGCCTGTCTGGGTTTGAATCCCAGCTCTGCCACTTACTGGCTGTGTGACTTTGGACAGATTACTTCATCTCTCTGTGCTCTAGCTCCTGCATCCACAAAATGAGTGTAATATGCGTGCTATCTCATAGGGGTGGATACGAGAATTTTCTGTCTGTGGATGTGCACAAAATCTTCAAGCAGTGCTGACCCCTGATAGATTCTAAACAGTTAACCAGAGAACAAGTCAACAGAAAGTGAGCCTGGCCAGTGTAGCATTTTCAGGGGCCCTTGAAAAGTTTAGTAGGGGCCACTGCTGGATTGTGAGCCTCCTCTCATGTCCTTTTGAGTGGGGAAAGAAGAGTCAAGGTAAAGGGAACTTTTTCATCTTGTGGCTGAGATCTCATGCCAGTGAGGTTCTGTGCTGTGCCTTCCAGAGCTAACACAGGGAGCCAGGTAACTTTCTGAGTGTCCAGGTATCTCAAGGTCCCAACTCACAGCCAGAGGAAGGCCCAGCGGTTGGTCCATTACTCTGGGTGGTGGAGGTTATCAGTGCTACCTCGAAGCAAGAGGGCCACCGAGACTAGGGGCCGGGGAGGGGGACATTTGAAAGGCTGATGAAAAAAAGTAGTGTTTCAGTTATGCAGAGTTGAGAAAGGCATCATGTCCAGTTATTATAAAGTATCTCACATTTTATTTATTTATTTGGTTGGCAGAGCTTGCATTCCTGGCATTTTTGGTTAGTTTGTATTGCTGTTTTTTTTTTTTTTTTTTTGTCTATGTAACTTTTTTTTCTTTCTTAAAGAGACCAGACCACCCTGGAGGAGGATAACCACCCCCCCTACTTTCTCCCCAGGAGACAAACAAGCCCGTGGTCAGCCTCCCAGAACCCAGCTTACTCTGGGTTCCAGCAAAATCTCTGCAAGGCAGAGAGCTGGTTAGTGTAGGTCAGGATTTTTCAGGAAACGAGGCTCTCTGTTTCAAAGAGCACAGATAACTCTACAATGGCTACGGCAACAGCATAATTACAGATGTCGCTCTGGTTTGTGGAATGAATAACCCATGGCTACAATGGTATTCCGTGAGCTCGCGCTGAACGTAGATTCTTGCCATTCACAAATGACAAATGATGGAGCCTTCATTATGTGCGTGGCCCTCTCCCATAAGATAACACTTTTACCTTTCACATTAACTCAGGTGGCGAGAGCTATTATTTTATCCATTTTTTTTTTTGCAGATGAGGAAAATGATATTCAAAGAGATGCATAATTCACCCAGGGCCACACTGTTAGAAACTTCCAAATTGAGGAGCTGTTGCAGGCATTGTAGGCCTAAAATAAAAGCACCCTGCTCTTCACAGAAACTCTGGAAATCAAAAGGGGCATATGTTTAAAAATATATATATATGGGGGCAAATGAGAAAGCAGTGATGGTGGGTGATCTGGGGGTTGAGGAGGTGCTCTTCTGACCTCCGAGAGGGGGCCTGTACCACGGGCAGCCTCCAGGCAGGCCAGTCCAGATGCGCTGCTTTAGGAAGGTGCTTGAGGGTTTGAGCAATGCTCGTCTCCAGTCACTGAGCAGAGAACCAGGGTTCTGGTTTTTCCAATGTCTTCCAGATGTGCTTCTCTCTCTCTCTCTCTCTCTCTCTCTCTCTCTCTCGCTCACAGGTGGGGAGGCGATTATGTTCCCTTCCAAGGTCACATCCTTCCTGGAGCCTCCTCATGCTGCCTGTTTTTGC